AAAATTCTGCCCTTAGGCTACTGCTAATGCAGCTTCAAAAATGGTCATAAAAACTTACTGGTTCAGACATAACAGCTGCTTGTCTATCTTTCTGATGATGATGAAAAAATTAAGGCCAGATCCTCAGTGGGTGTCAATTGGCATAACTCTATTGGCTCCAATGAAGCTATTTGCTGAGTTACACCAGCTAAAGACCTGACCCTGATTATATTTAAATCTTTCATCGATAATATTTACTTGTCAAGGCTATAGAATTTTGCAAAGTTGCAGTTGGTGGACAAAGTATGGATGGAAAATGTACTTTTCCAGTGTTAAGTATCTGAATCCAGTGACTAAATGCTGACATCAATTTTTACACAATAAACAAAAAACAAGCACTTTTCACCCAGCTATTTTGCATGTGTTTGTTTATGTAGCAATTAGTAGATTTCATGATTGAGGATCAGGAAGGAAACAAGGTTCTGTGCAGGGAACAGCTGTCCTTATTAGATCATAGAGGGGAGAGTGAGAGATTTTAGATCTCAGGAGAGTGCTATAAAGTTCAGTGGCTTTTGTTCTTGGATAAGTGTTGGGGCTTGTCTACACATGGAAATTTACCAAAATACCTATTCTGGAATAATTATTTTGGGAAATTTCCAAGTATAGACAAGACCTTAGGTAGGAAAAAATCCTTCATTTCATTTTGGAACAGAAAAGGTTCTCACTTTGGAAGCCCTTGCTTGTGTTCCATGACTTAACTAGTGCAGTGCTCTGTTACAAGATCACATAGCTGTCTCTTTTTATGAACCATGACTTCAGAAGGATGCCTAACTGATAAATCACAGCTTTGGGAAGCAGTGTTTTGGAGCACTGTGATGACACAGCAGTGATTGGAGGAAGAAGGATGGTCTTGTGGTTAAGACACAGGGCAGTGAGTCAAGAGTCCATGATTCTGTTCCTCGTTGTGCCCCGTGGCTGTGGGTTGGGGATATAACCTATCTGTGCTTCAGTCAGTTCTACAGCTGGGCACACTTGTTTTGGCTGAAAAATTCAGGTTCATTTCAACTGAAATATTTCACGAATTTCTGTCATGACTTTTACATAAAAGTGGAAGAGCTTCCGAGAGATCCCGCCTCACAATAGCCAATAGCCCAGTGGTTAGGGTAATCACTAAGGAAGAGCTGGGTTCAAGTCCCTGATCAAGAATGGGGATTCGGATCTGGGTCTCCTAAATGAGTTCCCTGGCTATTGGGTGTAAGGCAGCTGGTACTGCTGTCACCACAACCACCTTCTTCTCCTCCTCAATTTTTGTGAACCTAGCTCTTAATTTCCTTTCCTTTTATTAAAAATACCTGAAACTAAACATTTTGTTCAACCCAAAACTGTGTTTTTCCTACTTTTAAATTCACCAAAAATTCTAAAAAGTTTCAGTTGAGGTTGAACCAAATTTTTTTACTAGTTTTTCAGAACTGCCAGCAAGCCAAACGATCAGTTATTTGCCCAGCTCTAGTTAGTTCCTCAGTGTAATGGGGATAATAATACTTCTCTTAGTCCTAGGGGTGCTGTGAGGCTAAATTCACTGATGTTTATAAAATCTGTTGAGATCCTTACACGGCAGATACTTCGCAAGTGAATATAATTAACTTAATAACATGTTAATAATGAAGAACAAAATATCCTTCAAATTTCTTCTCTCTCAAAAGTCTTCAACATTGCACACTGTGAGGAATGCCTGAAAGGGGCAAACCCTTACAAACAATAAAGTTCAGACAAACTAGCTATAGAAAAACACATACAAGAGTACCCCTGATTAGAACTGTGATTATGTCTGTCTTAAATGCTGACTGTGCTTTGTACTTTTTAGACTAAAACATAGGGCAATAATGAGACTGTACACTGCCCTGAAGACAACAGGTCTAGGCCTGCCCAAAACTAAAGACCTGCCCCCTCAACTAAGGTGTGTGTGCGTGTGTGCGTGGCTGTGCACGTAGAGTTGGGTGTGTACTGTTACTGAGGGCCTGCTGCTACATAGCTACCATTTGGACTATTATTATGTTTTGTTCAGACTTGCTGACTTAACTGGCTCATGGTTATTACATTTTTTGATTGGTCACCTACCTGCGTGTCTTACTTTGATTTTCTTGTGTTTTGGGATTGCTGTTCTGGGGTGCATTAGAGCATAACAGGGGAACCACTAGGTCCTGGCCACCAGTAAGGACATGGGACAACAAAAGAGAAAACAGGAATGGGAGTAAGATCAAAGGTTGAAAATCAGGGAACAAGAGAACCCCCAACAGTACCCACCGCTTCTCAAAGGCGTCTAAGGAGTCAGTAATGCTGCCCAGATAGGGTTGCCAACCCTCCAAGATTATCCTGGAGTCTCCAGGAATTAAAGATTAATCTCTAATTAAAGACAATGTCATGTGATGAAACCTTCAGGAATTCATCCAACCAAAGTTGGCAACCCTATGCCCAGAGGAACTCTGCCTGTAGAGGTGATTGGATAAGGGAGTAGAAATAGGCCCCACAGTCACAGAGTATCACCCCTTGTCCAGCTTCCTCCTCTTAACTACTACTTAACAGTTAAGAGCTACTGGATCCTCCCAGCACTCTGGAGCCACACCTGAGGAGAGTCTGCTTTCCTATATCAGGGAAGGAAGGAAGGCAATGTGTGGATTAGCATTTCGCACTGTTCCTTTTTAAAGAGATAGTGCTGCCAAAGGCCTGTGTTATCTACCTGATGAAGCCAGGTGACTCATGTAAGCAGAGAGCCACAATATCCCTGCTGTGCTCAGGGCTGCCCGGGGGGTGGGGGTGGGGCAAGTGGGGCAATTTGCCCTGGGCCCCACAGGGGCCCCTACAAGAATGTCGGAGGCTCCCCCCCAACCTCCGCCTTCGCCATCCCCCATCCCCCGGCGCCTCAGCGCGCCGCGTCCAGGAGCGGCCCTGGACAGCACTGCAGCGGCGTGGCTCGGACGGGGCCTGAGGTCCTCCCGCTTGGAGCTGCGTGGTAAGGGGCGGGGCTGCGAGCTCCGGCAGGCCGAGCGGCAGGAGCTCCTGGACGCGACTCACTGAGGCTCTGGGAGAGGGAGGAGGTGGGGGCAAGTGGCATGGTAAGCCCCTCTGAGCTGGGCACCCCTCAACCCCCAGCTCCAAGCCCAGCCCCTCTGAACAGGACACTCCCCTGACCCCATCCCCCCCAGCTCCGAGCCCAGCCCCTCTGAACAGGACACTCCCCT